CCCTCTCAAAGTTTGCAATGATATTCATATTAACACAATACAAGGTGAACTTACTGAATATAGTCCTCTACCGTTTCTAAAAGCACCGATTAATACTCCCTAATGTTTTAACCCACGTAAATGAAATATAGCATGCCAATGCTAATGTCATACTGCATACATCTGCTCAGCAAAGCCAGTATCAGTAACATCATGTTTTTCTCATCAATGTGATATGTTAAATATGTAAGCTGGTAAACATTTGAATCCTTGTTGTATACAACAAGGAGTTGAGTATACATCTCACACAGACCTCTGTACATATGGAATAACCTTCCAGAACACATTAAATATTCCACAATCCTGAAATCTCTGAAAATAATCAGTTTCTATATTCTCAATCAAACCATACCTGCAAGAGCTACTAATTCTTAATATATATATATTTTTTTTATGAGGAGATATGTTACCATGTAACTGTATCTTGCCTGTGTGTCCCGGAATATATTTAATAAATTAAAAGAATTCTCAATGAAGTCTTCCTGTTAAAACATTTTCTAAATAAATAAATATTCACAGTTGGATCAATCAGTGACTCAGACATTTTGGCAGGTGATGCTATGCTAATGAAAGAACTCTATATATTCATGTGAGCATATTCCGAGGACAGATTTCTCATTCGGGATTTGCATTACATTTTAGCATGTAGGCTCTAACCCAGGCCAAAAATTAATTTTAAGTACGGTTAAATATGTTCGCTTCTTTATTCGTTTACTGTACTCTAACAAATATGTGTTTTAGGGACATAAAGTGGATCTACGGTGCCCTCCACTAATATTGACAGTTTTGGTAACTATGAGCAAAGTAGGCTGTATAGATTTATTTTTATTGTTTAACCGTTAAAACACAAACATACTCTGCCCTTATGGATATCAAATGATTGCAAACACAATTTGATTCAGGTTTTTTTTTGGTTTATCCAAAAAAATAATCTTTGTGAAATTTATGTGTGGCACAGTTATTGGCACCCTTTTTGTCAATACTTAGGAGTCTGCTCCTATAATATATTATAATGAGAGTAAAAGGTTTTTTCTTGAAACCCTAACAAACAATTTGTGGTGATGTCAGATCGTAGTTTCAGAGACATTATAACCCCAAGACACAACTAACTTCTGCAATTCTCCAGCTGTGATCCTTGGAGATTTTTGGCCTCTCCCAACATACTCTTCACAGTGTGCTGAGACAATACAGACACATGTCCTCTTTCACGCAGATTCATAACCTTTCCAGTTGACTAGGACATCTTAATTATTGTCCTGAAGGTAGAATTTGTCATTTTCAATGCTTTTGCTATCTTGTACCAGTTTAGTGAAGTTTAACAACCATATGCCACACATGACAGCTATTGATCTTACCCATTGTGATAAAGTACTAAGGGAATTTGGCCTATGTGTTACCTCATATTTATATCACTGCGTGGAAGTCATGGCTGAAAAGTTCCCTGTTCCGAGTCACCCAGGTGTACTAAAAATTTTAAATATCAATGGGAATAGGCTACAGATTTATTTTTCTCATATGAATTCATTGGGGTGCCAATAATTGTGCCACAAATATATTTCACAAAGATTGTTTTTTTTATATAAACCTGTGTTTTGTTTGCAGTTGTTTAATATCCATGACAGCAGAGTATTTTTGTGTACTTTTTTTTAACAAAATATCAAAAGGTTAACCAATAAACACAATTTTTACAATTTACTAAGGGTGCCAATATTAATTGAGGGCGCTGTATACAATTTGCTCTTTTTCAAGATAAACTTGCAAAGTTTAAAGCAAATCGTTTTAAATTGAGTAAGCATAATAATATTTGTAACAAACAGAGTGTTACAAAATCACATTTCTTCTATAACACACTGATATTCATTGTATTCTGCTTCACAATTAAGACAATTTATTTTATGTGTGTATTTTTTCTTTTAGGCTCTCCATATATCTATATTTTCAATATACTTCTTACTAACAAAACAGTAGGGGCTTGATTTAATTCCCTTCAACATGAAAAACAATATGCAGACTGTAAATTAAACAGCACGTTCAGAGGTCACCTTTAGCAAACAGAGAAGATTGTTGAATTGATGCATCAAGTGGTAATATAAAATAAACCAAAAATACCTGCGCATGATCTCAGATCCCAATTCACAATTTTAAATTACAGAGGGTATTATCACTGCAATGGACATCAAGCTGTAAGCTCACCTACCTGTACAGGAAAATAGCAAAGATAGCGTTTTTATGGTTTAGTGCTTTATATACTCAACCTGAATGTTAACGTAAGTGACTGTGTGAAAACATAGTTTGTATTTTCTCCAATTTGGTGGTAAAGTCCACTTGATTATTTTTTTTATTTTTTTTTTTTGATAATGTATCATTATAGTGTGTTGGAATCTACCGTATATAACTGTTCATTTTGTGTGAAAAATCGCTGGGATGTTGATGAATTCTTAAGCCCCAATATAAGTGTAAACATTAATACCCACTCATTGCAATTGACCATTTTAGCTCCTCGGACATAAATAGCACATCCAGAGCAAACTATTCTTTCCCTAGTACTGTACACTGAAAAGGTGCTTTGTATATATAAAATAATAACTATATTAACTGCTCCACATGTATAAAAGACATTTTTAAAAATGGCAATAAGATGGCAAAACTTACAGTTGTGCTCAAATGTTTGCATACCGATGGAGAGTTGGTAATATATGTACTATTTAAAAAAAAAAAAAAAACATACGTGAGCAGGCAAAACATATTTCTTTTATTTCTTATGGGATTTATATTCAACTGTAGGTTATAACAGAATGGCACAATCATAAAACAAAACATGGCAACAAAGAAAAAAAAATTAAATGACCCCTGTTCAAAAGTCTGCATACCCTTAGTTCTTAATACTATGTATTGCCCCCTTTAGCATCAATGGCAGTGTGCAGTCTTTTGTAATAGTTGTCTATGAGGCCCCTAATTCTTGCAGGTGGTAAAGCTGCCCATACATCTTGGCAAAATGCCTCCAGGCCATGCAAAATCTTTGGTTGTCTTGGATGAACAGCACTGTTTGAGATCTCCCCAGAGTGGCTCGATGATATTAAGGTCAAGAGACTGTGATGGCCACTCCAGAACCATCACTTTTTCTGCTGTAACCAGTGGAGGGTAAACTTGGCCCTGTGCTTAGGGTCATTGTCATGCTGGAAAGTCCAAGAGTGTCCCATGTGTAGCCTTCGTGCAGATGAATGCAAATAGTCTGCCAATATTTTCTGATAACATGCTGCATTCATCTTGCCATCAATTTTCACAAGATTCCCCGTCACTTTAGAGCTCACATCACCCCCAAAAAATCAGCAAGTCACCACCATGCATCACAGTGGGGATGGTATTCTTTTCACTATAGGCCTTGTTGTCCAAATATAGCACTTATGGGTGTGACCATAAAGCTCTATTTTGGCCTTGTCACTCCAAATTACAGTGTACCAGAAGCTGTGAGGTGTGTCAAGGTGTTGTCGGGCATATTGTAACCAGGTTTTTTTGTGGCATTGGTGCAGTAAATGCTTCTTGCTGGCAACTTGACCATGCAGCTCATTTTTATTTCAGTATCATCCTTGAAACAACCACACCATCTTTTTCCAGAGCAGCTTGTATTTCTCCTGAGGTTACCTGGGGGGTTTTCGTTGTATCCCAGACAATTCTTCTGGCAGTTGTGGCTGAAATCTTTCTTGGTCTACCTGACCTTGGCTTGGTATCAAGAGATCCCTAAATTTCCCACTACTTAATAAGTGATTGAACAGTACTGACTGGTACTTTCAATGCTTTCTATATCTTTTTAGATCATTTTCCATCTTTATAAAGTTCCATTAGCTTGCTATGCAGGTCTTTTGACAGTTCTTTTCTGCTCATCCATACCTCAGTATCTAAGCCTGCTCAGTGCATCCATGTGAGAGCTAACAAACTCATTGACTATTTATACACAGACACTAATTGCAATTTAAAAAGTCACAGGTGTGAGAAATTAACCTTTAATTGCCCTTTTAACCTGTGTGTGTCACCTTGTGTGTCTGTAACAAGGCCAAACATTCAAGGGTATGTAAACTTTTGATCAGGGCCATTTTGGTGATTTCTGTTATCAATACGATTTTAAAAGGAGCCAAACAATCACAATGTGATAATAAATGGCTTCATATGCTCACTATCCTTCAATAAAATATTTTTTTTTGCATGATCAGTCATATTTTGAAAATCAATGCCAAAGTTTCACAGTTTCTGCCAGGGTATGCAAACGTTTGAGCACAACTGTATGCAATCTAACAGTTCTAGAGGAACTGTTACTTTTCTCATTCAGTACTGCACCATGTCCTACTGAGCATTACTGAAATATTTACTGTGGTTTACATACCCCTTTGTGGGGGTTACTGCTGGCATCATCTTATGTTGTTTTATGCATGTTTGCAAGCCATTATTAGCTGAACACCTACATTGAGACCTAGGACACTTTGGATTTGTATTGGATATGAAGTTGCACCAGCATACCTTTGGGTTTAAAACTATTTTAAAAAACCCCAATAAAATAACTCAGAAGGAACTGTTTCACTTTAATAAACAATAAATTAGGTTTTTCCACTAGCATTTTGTCCTCAATTTAACTGTGAATCATTTGTAAATTCTTGAACAGTTATTGAAGACAAGTGATATCTAGATTACTAATCATTATGATCTCAACACCAACTGCAACATTGAAGAAATATAATACTTATATGTATAAAATGAAATGTGGAGGGGGGGCGGGGCGTAACAGTCAAGCTGGCAAGACGCACCTCGCTCGAGCTCCAACAATACAGACAAGCAAATGCCAAAATCCAGCACAAATCGCAGTCTCCAAACCCAGCAACCACCCGTAAGATTGCTACTTAACATCAGCTACCACCCAATGCCGTTCTTATTTGGCCAAAGAGGTAAAAAAAAGTGCGCTGCAAAACCAGGGCCTACTCGGGCCTTCCCAAACCAGGAGCCCTGTTCCAGAGTGCTGTGTGGCCTCCGGATGAGTCAGACACTTACCTTTCGCCTGAATACCACCAAGTCAGTGATCCCACTGCAATGGGGAGCAGAACACAGCGAACACAGGCAAATATAAGCCGAAACACCCAAGACATCATCACCTTGCTGTAGCGACCCGCGGCCCCCAAAATTATCACCGGGTCAGTCCACGAGGCGGGGTCCACCTGCTCAGATACTCACACGGAAGAACCCTTGGGTCTTCAGGAGTCTGCATCAATGCTCCTAACGGCCACAGAGGCAAAATCCCTGGCTACAAAACAAGACATCCAAGACCTTCTACACCACATGCAGCAGAAGTTTCAGGCTGACATTAATACAGTCAAAACATAGATACAAGCTGTGATAGCCTGTGTACAAGCAGCTGAAGAAAACATTATAGACACCCAACGTGACGTATCTAGCTTCAGGGGCACTCTACGCCAGGTCCACTCATCAAAGGCTACCATCGCATCATGGCTCAACCAACTGGAAGACCTAAGCCGGTGAGCTAACCTTAAAATACACGGTATCCCCGACACAGTCGACTCAGCTGAGAAAATCCAAAAGCAACAACAAAAACAGCGCAACCACTGACTGTAAGTGGGCTATAGGCCTTCACTGACACATATATCCCCCCCCCCACGGGTCGCCCATGGTTAGGGGTCGACCCAATTTACATATGCAAATTCCGCATTTCCCGCTGACGGGCCCAGCTTAATACTGCAGACCTCCTAAGTTACAACAGCGGGACTTAGTGGGCGACTCAAGTTAACCACATACTGTTAGCATGTTCGTACACACATTTGAAGGAGTGGACTCACCACATCATCTTCCCTTTCATACTCTGCAGCATACTCTGTGGAATTTAGGCCTGACATGCCTTGGACAGCATATCCTGTATTAATGCATCAGGGAACATGTAGGGGTGTTATCCATTTCTAGTTAACTCAACAGCTCAGCTCTCAGCTCATTAATGGCTTTATCACAATTTAACTATAACAAAGCTGGGATTCGTTTCTTCCTCTGTTTAACATGACCACTGAGTGTATTTCGGCTTGTTTTATTATATTACCACATAATTTAGTTTTAGATATTAATCTATGTATCGTAGCTGTTTATCAAGTGTACTCACTGAGTCTCAACCAACGAGTCAGACATATATGTGATAACAACCTACCAAGCATGTTTGTAACACTATGCACAGAAAAAAATAAAGATTTTTTTTTTTTAATGAAATGCGGAGAAAAATAAATAAAGATATCCAGTTATATTAATAGAATATTAACAAGGAGCAGAAATAACCCTTTAATACAAGATACAACTATGACAACACTCTTTCGGCTTTAATGTCTAACTACAAGCTCAATTATCACTTTCCACCATGCCACCCACGTCATTTTCACCTCTTCAATAAACCATTAAAGAATGACAGCAGGTTTGAAACCATACATATTTTTGCAAAAAACAAAACCAAAACAACAAACAAAATAGAACACCCCTTGCCCCCACTAACAAATAAACATCTACAGAATCAGGCAATTCTAACAGAATACGCTGGACACCTCATGTAACTGCTTCAATAACTGAATTACCAACAAATTTTAGGTTGAGATTTTTTCTAATCTTTTAGTTTTCATCAAGCAAGAGCAGCCAAACAATGGGATTCCTAGCCCACAAAAGGTAATATCGGGATAAGGAATGGGCAATGAGTGAAATTGTAAAAAAAAACACTCCAAGCCCTATGACCACTGCATGCTAAGTGTATCCTAGTGCACTTACCTAGTGTCCACTAGGCACCCAGAAAGCTCTGCAAGTCCAGTGGTTTCAAATATAATAATTTAAAACAAACAAACAAAAAATATAGAAAAAATATACCATTTGGCTTCACCACACATCCTTATGTTTAAATACCTTCAATTATATGAATCATATCAGTACCCACATCAAAGTATAAACTAGATTTGTGTAGGAATGGAAAATGCAGATCGTAAGAATAGTTTCATTAGAAAATTGAAGACAAATTCATACAACAAGAATTTTGTCCATGTTTTGTTTTGGTTCATCTGACAAACCCATGAAACTGTTCACTGCTGGTGAATGAGGGGTTAAAAATTGAAATAGTGTGGAGCAGAGCTCCCACCGCTTCTGTCCTTCTGTCCATGACCCAAGGGTAACAATACGACCTCCATATAATTATAAGGCAGATTTACAACCTCCCTAATGCCCCCATCCACCATGCCACTTGATTGCCAGTGTCTGCTCGCTGTGATATAAGACTTGATACTGGGCAGCTAGTTCTGCCCAATCACAAATACAATAAAGGGGGACCTGACACAAGTCCCCCAGTCCCCATGGTGGAGCTGGAAATATATAATAAAGTGGGGGGGGGGCTTAGTGTCCCCAGTGCCCCACCTGTGTACAGTGGGAGGGGTCTATTCAATTAAGAGAATAAGGGACACCTTGTGCCCCCCATGCAGCACCCTACCAATGCCTACACCAATAAACCAGAGGTAGGGACTTTAGTTATAATAATAGGGGGGGGGGACCTAACCCCTCAACCATCCACCCATAGGCAGTGGGTAGAGTCTGTTAACTGCCTAGAATAAAGCCACATGTGTAAGAGCCACCACATAGGATTAAAACATAGGATTAAACAGTTTCTCTATTTATGATTATGATTTTGTTTTACAATTAATCTGTAATGCAAAGGTTTGGCAAAGCATTCACAAGTAGGATCTCTCATTAGACTTGAGCAGGGCAGAGGATTTTGGTTTGGCCAAATCACTACATTAGAAAAAGTCCCACATGGTGGACCGGCTTGTCCAAATATTGTCTATGAGCAAATATTCAGGGAATTTATACAGACGAACCAAAAATGGCTCGATAATGAAGCAACCAAATATTGCAAAATATAAATATTATGTATATATTTTCCAGTGCATTTAGTGTGACACTTGCTTCACAGATCAAGTGAGAAAAAGTAACAGACAGAGGGAAAATGAGGTAATTTGACCTGTGAATAAAATAATGACCATAAATAATTTTTTTCCTCCATCAATAATCTCTGTTTTTTGGAGCTACAGATGTAACTCTGGATCACAAAACAGACATGCATGCTTGTCCATTGTGTAAGTCAGTCTTTGGTTACACATCGATATGGCACTTTGGAGTTATGGAATTTACAATATCCACTGATTTACCTAATTTGGACAAATTGTAATTCAACTGAAAAAGAAAGCACAAGTCTATCTCTAATTCCAGCAATGACTCATTTCACAAACACAACTCAAGATAATTAAAGGAACACTTTAGTGTCAGGAACACAAACATTTATTGCTGACAGTGTTTAACTAACTAACTAACTAACTATTTGGGTCTCCGGCCCCCCTTAGTTAGCTTAGGAAAGGTGTTTTTATTCACGCCAAGCCCATCTTACCGTGGCTGGCCCAACCTGACACTGCCTCCATTTTTGGGATACTCAGTCTTGATCTTAGCAAATCCAATGCTTTCATTTTGGTACGCTGCAAAACACTGTGCCTATAACAATCTGCGCATAGAGATGCATTGAATCAATGGAGAATTGGTGTGTGTGGAGACACTAAATATAGTTGCTGCACATTGTGCACTAGTGGCTGTCAGAGTGACTGACACTAGAGGTGTTGCTAGACAGCCATTCCACTCTGCACTTTATATAAACATGATTTAGACGCACAAGAATGGATCCTTTCTTGCTTTTCAATCAGTTTGCCTAAACAAAACTTGTTCTGTCTTAGCTTCAAACCTACATAACAACTGTGAAAATATTAGATCTTTATAAGTATAATTTTATCACATGACAGGAGGCTTCATATTTTGCATAACTTTCTTTACTTTATGCCTCCAGCAGCACAAGTCAATCAATAAACTTTAAACCAATCAGTAACAGGCATCACATTCATATATAAAGTCCTGACAGTCACATGACTTCCTCTTTCTTTGCTGCTTACCAGCCAAGGCACAGGTCAGAGTATTTTGCTCCAAACTGTTTTACTGAATATTGCAATTGTCATTAGTTAATCATTTATTGCTTAACTTTCAGTTTGTTCCAAACTATTTTTATTAATATTGCTATGGTCACTGTAGTTAGACACCTTATGCTAGACATTCAGTTTTAATCCTAACTGTTTTTTCTGGATACCACTTTAATTAAACTTTATTAATTGACTTTCAGTTTGCTCCAACTGTTTTTATTAATATTGCTATGGTCACTTTAGTTAGATTTTTAATGCGATCGTATCCTCGATCGTGGGCCGCACGGCACTTTTGCGCGCGAACGGCGGCCATCTTGAATCTCGCGGCACTCGCGAGATTCACGTCGGCCATGTCGTTTGGCCAGTTCGTGATTCCCACGAACTGGCGGCTAGTTCTGTACTGTTTCATATATTTTTCCTGTGAAATAAAAGTTTTACAAGTACTTTTGAGCTCAATACTGTTCATGGGCATGTGGAATAAAGGTTTTATATGTACCTTTCCTGGAAGATTATGAATGGACTGTTCACTGCTGAGCTCTATACTGGCATATTTCATTGGCATGTGAAATAAAAGTTTTATATGTAACTCTGCATGAATATGTAGGACTGATCCCTGCTGTGTGCATCTGCTGACAGTTTGCTCTATTCTGTTCTATACAATTGACATGTTGAATAACAGTTTTATTGTACATCTGGAGGATTATGAATGGACTGTCCCCTGCTGTGGGTATATAGTGGATGCATTACTCTATCTACTGGCAGGGAAATTAAATAGAGCTGATATCTTACTCCGCTCCCTACTCCCACTGGACCTCACAACCATTGGATACACTCCTTCCCCACAGGGATACACCTCCCAGGACACAGTAGTGGAGGCACATAACGGAGTGATTAACAGGGGTGATCCCCCTTACGCTGGGTGACCCCCAAGCGTGGCAGACACCTCTCCAAAGTGACATTGTGGTACAGGGGTGACCCCCCTTACGCTGGGTGACCCCCAAGCGAATCTGGTTCCTGTCCTAGTGACATACATATACTGGGGTGATCCCCCTACTCTGGGTGAACCCCAAGCGAATATTATTCCGGTACTAGTGACATACATATACTGGGGGGAACCCCCACGCCCTAGGGCGGGCTCATTTCCACGGAGTACGATCTGTTACTGTATGCACAGACCGGGTCACACTGAATACATGTATATCGACAGAGCCAGGAAGGAGAGCTCATGGTGCTGCCAATTCTCCACAGTACTATATCCTATAAGGGTGACCCCTTGGATAATTTGGAGGCTACCATACCTCCCCATACACGGGCTACGTCCCGACATTACTGACCGCTCATCCCGGTCTTATTGAGGGTGACCCCCTCCTCAGACCACTCCCAGGAAATCTCTAAGTGGTACTGATTGAAACAATTCTGGGTGACCCCCAGTTGTACGTGGAGGCCCACTAAGTGGCAATAAGTGTACTACCGTACCTGACACCTGTTCGGTACCCCATAGACCGAAAGAGTGTCCCAACATGCCATAAGAGACATTCATACAGGGGTGACCCCCCTATGCTGGGTGAACCCCAAGCGAGTCTTACTCCGGTGCTAGTGGCATAGGTACAAAGGGGTGACCCCCCGCACCCTTTCTAGGGCTTCTACCTTCAGAGTACGCTCTGTCATTGTATGCACAGACCAGGGCGCACTAGATGCATGTATTCTGGCACCTCTATGCTTCAACTGGGGTTCCGTACGCCCTTCCCTTAACCGAGAAGGAGAACTCACAGTGCTGCCAAAACTCCACAATTCTAGACCATATAAGGATGAACCCCGTGGACTATATATATTGAGGCTTTCACGTCTCCCAGACTCGGGCTACGTCCCGACATTGCAGACCGCTCATCCCGGTCTTACTGAGGGTGTCCTCATTCTCAGACCACTCCCCGGATCCTGCGAAAATGATACTGATTGATCAAAATTCTGGGTGACCCCCAGTTATACGCGGAGGCCTACTGAGTGGCAATAAGTGTACTGTTGTACGATCCTGTCTCCCACGGACCGAAAGGGTGTGAACCAACATGTCGGACTTACCTCAATATCCCCGACCGATTTTCAGGCGAGGATTAAGGCTGCCATGACAGCTCCGGGGGAAGAAGTCCTCTCCAGTATGCTGGCTAACAACCCATCCGACAGAGCGGTTGCAACGGCAGCAACAGCAATGGAAGATTGAGATACCGACGTTAGGTTGGACACCCATCATCAGGGGACGAGGACTTCATCCTCCCCCCCCTTCTCTGGAGATCATGAAAGAATGGAGGGCAGAAGAGGTAAAAGTGACAAGACACGCCTAGCAAGAAAGGTTTTTTCTTTGGCACACTGGACACTCCTGTTTTGACTCACGCACCATCCGACAACCAGGGTCATCCGAATGGGGTTAACTGGAGCACCGGGCCCACTTCTGGCTTAGGAGGCCTATGGGAAAAGAAATCCGAGACCGGCTCAGGATGGAATGCCCACGCCCTCTATGTCCGAACAAGATAGTCCTCACTATGGAGCTCGTGGTGATATGTATGTCCCGATCAGTGTGTAGGAGGAGGACTCAAAATGAGTTAAATACTGGATATGATCAGCCCGGGAAAAAATTCTATACTTTGCGGACCTGACCCCACACAAGACTCACCTCTAGAAGCTCACGATGTGAGGGAATGGGTGCAAAGGGCAATATGCAAGTTGGGGAACGCAAGGCAGACAGGTGCACAGAACGCCGCAAAGCAGCCCGATTAAAGATGGATTTCAAACTATTGAAGTTAGGGACGAAAGAGCGAGGACCTCAGGCAGACGGACTATCGTTTGGAGAACCATTTATCTCAGCAACGGTTTGGTAGTAAGGAAGAAGATAGGAGACTATCACCCAGTCATCAACCTATGCCAACCCAATGGTTTTGGGGCGTACCGACAACTCAAGAAGGAAGGTATCCATCTCTTAGGGGATCTACAAGGTTGGACTTGAAGGGCACTTACCTATAGGTTCACATGGTGCCTCATGAAGTTTCTGAAGTCGGTCACTGCGCACTGAAAAGCAAAGGGTATCTGCTGTCACATACCTAGATGACTTTTGCAAATCCAATTCATGACTACGTTTACAAACGAGATTTATGTTTACAGTTTCGGGAATTGTTGGGATTCATAGTGAACAGAGAGGAGTTGGTTCGATCCCAGTTCCGAGTGATTCAGTTCCTCTATTTCAGAATAGATTCCACCTTGGGCGGATTACACCTTCCCACATCATTGATAGCGACGATTCGTAAGGAAATTCGACAGGTACGGCGGAAAGGCACCATAACCCTTTGACTATTTCCCAGGACTGCTTCACTACCAGGCCAGACAGTGGCTGAAAAGCTCACTGCCTGAGATACGGACACACCTATGAAATTGGGATCAGAATAGCGAAGACTTCGATAGTACTCATTACTGCGGTAAAGGAGGCAAGCGTGACACCCAGAAGGGTTGTCCTTAATCAGGATCATCCTCTGCTCCTTCCGTTTTAACTTGCCTTCGGGCGGATCCAAAAGGAGAACATCATCCATTGAGAATGCAGGAGCATCTGGAGTTGGTAGATTGGTGTCTTCCAGGGGAGACTGGTATGTCAAGGGACTATCGCAACCAACTAGAGACCTACTATGGGACTCATGGACGCCAGGTATTCCCCCGAAATAACTTATCCGCATGGAACACCTTGAGTTTGCTGGTGTATGGGAAGGGACTGCGATCCCTTTATTACCCCTATCTCCACGATGCTGGATCTTTATCATACCTTTTCACTACAGGCCGATCGGAACGTTCCATTAACGGGCTACGTTCCGCAATTTCGGAGCCTTTGATATGCCATTTTCTGTGGGGTATTAAACCGTCCAGAACCATGCGTCAAAGTATCACTGGTGTGGGACTTTGATTTGGTTCTTTTGGAGCTAGTCAGATATCACGGTCCTATCCCTCAGTCAGCCATTAGCCAGAGTCACGTTACTTTTAGGTCTTTTCGTCGGGTATCAGATGTACTGGAGTTCGACGTAGACGGTCTTTTCGGTATCACCAGAAAGAATAATTTCTACAGTGTCTTGTAGAACTATATCTTATCCGTGTCCGTATCGTTCCCTGTTACCGACTGTTTCCCAGCCTTTGTGCAGTTAAAGGGGTACTTTGTTACATGGAGATCACAACAACACTTAGAATGTCACATTCAGGACATCTGCTGGTCTTATACCAACCGTACAAGCCAGTTACCATGAACACTCTGTCTAGATGGGTTCATTGGTTGTTATCGCTAGCGAGGGTGGAGACGTGTTTGGGTACTCATTCGGTAAGAGGCGCAGCTGCTTCTCAGGCCTTCACGAGGGGGCCTCTATATTTTCAGCGACGAATTGGACACGGATAGACTACTTCCGTATATTTATTTTCGTCAACCACACACGCATCCTTCACGCTCATACCACAGCTTTAAAAATGCAAAATATGAAGCCTCCTGTCATGTGATAAAATTGTAGATTATGCTAACGTAGTGTACCTATAATCTTAATTTTAATAATGACAGGAGGCGAGTATTTTCCCTCCCTGTTTCCCTCCCTATACTCTGGAAATTTTTTATATTTTGGTTTGTCATTTTCTCAGTGTAAATTATAAGGTTTGGTAATTCAGTATATTTATGGGATGCTTATTTGGTTGATATGTGTTAGATCCGTGTTGATTATTAAGTATACTATGGTTTGTTTAATGTTTCAGTATATTAACTTAATATAAATATAGACACATATAGTACTGGATTTAATGTGGACAACAGTTGGTTTCCATCACCTTTCACGTATTTCTGTTCTTTTCAGCGTAATCATCATAGATGGATTCGACAAGATAAAGCTGGAAGGTTTCAAGTTATGTTCTACACGTTACTCAGGACTGTTATTTGAATTCCCTGACGTTATAATAGACTGTTTTTCGCATCAAAGAAAGAGGAAGTCATGTGACTGTCAGGGCTTTATATATGAATGTGATGCCTGTTACTGATTGGTTTAAAGTTTATTGATTGACTTGTGCTGCTGGAGGCATAAAGTAAAGAAAGTTATGCAAAATACTCGCCTCCTGTCATTATTAAAATTAAGATTATAGGTACACTACGTTAGCATAATCTACAATTTTAATACACTCAACATTTATTGGTGTGCTTTACAAATATCTTAAAGGACCACTATAGTGCCAGGAAAACATACTCTTTTCCTGGCACTATAGTGCCCTGAGGGTGCCCCCACACTCAGGGTCCCTCTCCCGCCAGGCTCTAGCATAGAGGAAGGGGTTAAACTTACCTCTTTCTCCAGCACCAGGCGGGGAGCTCTCCTCCTCCTCTCCGCCTCGTCTCCTCCTCTTCGGCTGAATGCGCATGCGCGGCAAGAACCGTGCGCGCATTCAGCCAGTCCATAGGAAAGCATTCTCAATGCTTTCCTATGGATGCAGGCATCTTCTCACTGTGAAAATCACAGTGAGAAGCGCAGAAGCCCTCTAGCGGCTGTCAATGAGACAGCCACTAGAGGCTGGATTAACCCATAGGTAAACATAGCAGTTTCTCTGAAACTGCTATGTTTACAGAAAAAAGGGTTAATCCTATCTGGACCTGGCACCCAGACCATTTCATTAAGCTGAAGTGGTCTGGGTGACTATAGTGGTCCTTTAACAATCACAAATGGTAAAAAATAGGAATGCTAATTCTACTGCCCACTACCCTCTACATAACATTAAAGACCGGACATATGTTATGGTGCTTATGATGGAAACAGGTTTTCAATACTCTTTAGATATTCTATTAAACACAAAACGTAACATCTACTTAATATTCTGCATAATAGATGTAATCATATAACAAACACAAATGCATGGAAATTTCTCACATACAACAATCAAAGTGTAAATCAGAGAGGTGTGTTGGGTTTTTGAATGACAACAGTGACATTTCGAGTGCCTGGTAGGTGTAACTTGATTATAGCTTCAAAAGAATAGGAAGTGGCCCTGAAACCCGCCAGAAATGTGTATACTTGAATATAACCTTTAAAAAACAATCTGTCCTTTTTCAAGATGACTTCAGCACAGACTCGAGATTAACATTTTCTTTTAATATAATATCACTTGTCAGAAGTTAATTCCAACCAGTACATCATTATTTTGAATGTTGGGTTTTTGTTTACTAAACAGTGAGGAATGTGATGCAACAACACATGTGTAAGGCTAGAATCGGACGCATACAAATAGAGGCTTGTGCCAGTCACACACATTTTAGTGAAAAATATAAGTAATCAGAGGTGATAATCATACATTATAGTATACCCTGAACAAAATGTACGCGTTATAAACCAAGTGTTTAACCACCCATTATTATTAATTGTTATACATTTAAAAAATATTTAGGGTTCAAAAAAAGCTGTGTACTACAGCTGTGTACTACAAGCCAGGCCTAAAAGTTACTCGACACTGCAAGCTTGGAGGGTCCAAGGCACACTAACCAGGGGTGAATTCAATTTTTTTTTTTGAATATAATAATCTTTAGATAATGTAGTTGCCGGGCTACATTTTCAC